CTTCAAGGTTTGTCGGGGTTTAGGCTTGGCGAAACTTGAAGACAAGACTTGAAGTACCCGATCACAGCGGAAATTTTTGAAGTAGTTTCGATTTGCAGGAGGAAGAGATGAAGGGCAGAACTGGTCCTACTGGGCGTGCCAATTTATTTGCAACAAATTATATGTGATACAAAAATAAATTGCAACCACAATATAAATATGAAGAAACACAATTTTATTCATAAAAAGACGCGGGTACAATTCTGTTTATCCCCTTGATTCTTCTCTCCTGATTATCTCCGTGATTCGAGGGCTAGAACAGCGTGTTTCTCGAACGTAGGATGGTGCGGGCTTTCATGGATTTATTTGATATCCATGAAGTATGTTGTGGATCTTCTTGAAGAATTTGATTATCAAGAATTATCCGGCCACTTCTTGATCTCTTTGTGAATATCCCGTGAGTTTATGGGATTTTCGAGATGATCTCCATTTTTGAGATCTTTTTTAAAGGATTATGAAACCCTTTTTATAGGAGTGACCTAGGGTTTTGGTAGAGTAGTCTCCAAGCAACACTGACAGGCTCCTAGAGTTTCAAGAGGTCTTGTAGTATCTTGAATTTAGGATTTAGCTTGATCCATTAAAATTTTGATCTCTACATGACCGAACGACGCGGGTCTGATTCTCATCGGATGTGAGATACGTAGGCAAACCTCATCGGTTCCGACCCCAATTTTCAAAAAATTTAAAAATATTTTCTTTCAGTTGTTTCTTTAGAAATCTTTCCTTAGAAAATTCAAAAAAAAAAGTTTTTTAACTAAAAAATAGTTTCCTTCTTTCTTAAGTCTTTCATATGGAAAAAGAAATAAAAAGAAAAAATTAATAAAAACCAAAAATACGGGTTTTCTTCATTTTGAAGTATTTTTTCCCAAAAAAAAAATACTCCTTAGATGCCTTTCTTTCATAAATGTCAATAAAAAAATTGGAAAAATTGAAGTTCAAAAATATTTTTGCTTTTCTTTAGAAGTACTTTTGTAAATAAACAAAAAAAACTCAAAAATTCAAAATATTTTCTAAAATTTCCTCTTTCGAAAATTAAGAGGTTACATCTAAAATCCAAAAATAATTTTCTTTCTTCTTTAGAAAAAGAGAAAACAAATAAATTTTCTAACAAAAAATATGTTCTTTTTACTTTTGAAATTCCCAAAGTTCCAATCAAAAGAAAAGGAATTTTAGAAGTCTTTCTTTCAAAAATAAAATCAAAATCAAAAATTAAAAAAAAAAATTCCCTTTCTTCTTTTAAAGTATTTTTTTTAGAAAATTCCAAAAAGAAAATCAAAAAATCACAAATGTTTTTCTTTTGCCTTAAAGCTTTATGATCAGAGTTTTATAAAAAGAGAAAAAAAAAAGAGTTAGTTTACTCAATTCCCAATCTTCTCGAACTACGCAAGATCTGATTCATGCGGGGTGATGATACGTAGGCAATCCCCATTGGATTCGATCATAGCCATAAAATAAATTGAGTGAAAAAATAAACTGCAAAAAAAAAAAGAGAAAGAAAAATTGAGTGAAAAAGAAAGAAAAGAGTGACAAAAAATGAAAAAAAAAAGAGAAGAAAACAAAAAGAGAGTGCCAAAATAAAAGAGCGGCAAAAACAAACTGAAAAAAAAATCAAGTGATCAAAGAAAGGCAGAAATAAAAGAAAAGAGGTACATACTGAAGGAGTTAGTTAAGGCCGGGATGAAATATGCAACTGTGCAAACACATGGTAGAAGCGTTTAACTGTTAGGTGCATTGCATCCCAATGTGCGATTTTCTATATGTTAAATGTCTCAAAACTAACAAGGTTGTTTGTGTGAGCAAATTAGCCAGGTTTTGTTCAGGTGGTTGGTTTTGTTGGTATGCGGTGATGAACGTGCAACCTTGCACGCGGCCACAACATTATACACAAAATCGAGCTCTACCTCCCAGAAATGCCCATCTTTACCAAGCTCCATATAATCCCAATCAAATGTTCCCCAGTACAATCCTCGCCCAAGAGAGCCTTTCAAAAGGAATCAGTTTACCCCTATTGGTGAATCATACTCGGGTTTGTTCCAAAAGCTAGTTAGGCGAGTTTTCCTGCAGCCAGTGGCCCCAAACCGGCCAAACCCCGAGTCCCCTCGCCCGAGCTGATGCTTAGATGTGAATACCACTTTGGAGCGGTGAGGCACAATATAGAGGACTGTTGGACCCTCAAAAGGGTAGTTGAAGATTTGATTGAAGCTGGAAGAATCATTTTTCGGGACGAAGAGGCTCCTAACATGATGAACAATCCTCTGCCTACTCACACCAATGGGCCAGTAGTCAGAATGACTTGTGAAGATAAGAAATTTAATTCGGCACTGAAGGCCATTGCAGCCATTGCCGAGACAGAAGAAAAGTCACAAAACGGTTGCCAAGCGTGAAAGTTCCCTATCAGACGGGAGTCTCGGTAGCCAGTCTTGCCATCCTTTCTACAGCCGGATTATCTCAGGGTGTGATCCGGATGTTTTACTCTATTGTCTTACTCTATGATCTAAACCCTTCTCTCTTCAAAAATTTAAAAAAAATCAAAAATCAAATGAAATTAATATTTCGTTGTCGAGGAATGTCCTTTTTCTTAATCTTGTTGTTTTTCTTTTTCTCTTTTCAGTTCTGTTAAAAGCATATTTCAATAACATGACATGCTTGCGGACTTCATGCCTAGATTCAAACACGCTGTCTAACTGTGAAATAATGAACCAAGAACAGGAATATGGTGAAGAAGAGGCTTTTAGGGAAATAAATCTAGAATTGGAACAATTTGAGAATAAAACTAAGCCGAATTTAAATGATACTGAGCCGGTTAATTTGGGTAATTCTGAAGAAGTCAGGGAAACCAAGATAAGCATTCACACAGATGAAAAAACCCGGGACGCATTGATCCAACTCTTATTTGAATTCAAAGATGTGTTTGCTTGGTCATGTGATGACATGCCAGGACTAAGTATCGATTTGGTGGTTCACAAGTTGCCAACATACCCTGATTATCCCCCTGTCCAGCAAAAGTAAAGAAAGTTCAAAACTGATATCAGTGACAAAATTAAAAAAGAGGTCACAAAACAGTTAAAAGCGGGGGTGATCCGAGTGGTTCGATACACCACATGGTTAGCCCATGTAGTTCCAGTGCCAAAGAAAGATGGGAACCCGAGTGTGTGTGGATTACAGAGATCTGAACAAAGCAAGTCCTAAGGATAATTCCCGTTGCCGAATGTCACACCTCCTTTTTTACACACCTACCCCGAAGGATAAATGTATAAAGGAGTTTTTCCATTTAATGTGACATTATTCGAAATGAGATTATTTATTTATTTTTTTAGAATCGCCACTTGGGATAGGATTGGCTTTTGGTGTCCCAAGTCACCGATTTAACTTAAATCCCAAATCGAGGAAAATTATCGACTTCCCAATTGGAGTCTGCGAACCAGAAATTCTGAATAAGGAATTCTGTTGACCCGAGGGAAGGTGTTAGGCACCCCCGGATCCCGTGGTTCTAGCACGGTCGCTTAAATTATTATAAATGGCTGAAATCTGATTTTTATACATGTTCAAACCTATAGTGCAATTTTAGAATTGTTTAACCGCTTTTAGTTAAAAAAATTAGAAAGTGAACGTCGTTTAAAAACGTGTTTTTGGATCACGTCACATGAAATGCACCCGGATCCTCGACACATTCTTATTCAACGTTTTGGGATTTGGATTTGGGTTGCATGAAATGCACACCCGTATTTAGGAAGGTAAAATTATTAAAAGCGCGTCTAAAGCGACTAACGGGTTATTATCTTTGTGGGAGACCGTGAAATTTGCTAGACGGCACGCCCCAAATTCTAAGTATTTTTAATGAAGCATTTAATGAGGGCCCAGCAAATTATGCATTTTTGTTTGGCGAGGCTCATCTTATTTTTATTATTTCAAGGTAAACCTAAAGCAAACTAAGATTTTCTATTTATTTTGTCTCTAAAAAGGCCTAATTAATTTGCATTCATAACTTCGGGCCTCGAGTTCAAGTTCGAATTCAAACAAAAGGGGGGACCCTCTTAATTTGAACCCGCTACCTAACTCGAAAACCTAAATTTATATTGCATATTAATCCCCCATATTCCTAATATATTTTAAAAGATTTTAGCTCCAAGCATTCTAGGCTTTGAGAAATTTGGCTCAGGTCTATGGCAATAGCGGTTTGTGCAAGGGGAGTCTGCCTTGGGCTTTTGGGAACTGGCCCAGGGTTCAATTATATAGGAAATTGAGTTCAATATGCCAAGTTCCAGCAATTATTGTGTTTGGGCCTTTTGACAGACTGGTTTAATTATTTGGGTCACTCATTATCATTGCCAACTTTTAACTAAACAGATTTGAAATGACAATTTGAGGCTGAGATCATCACTAATTTCGGGAAGATTGAACATGCTGAACATACTAAAAATTAATGCTGAAACCATAATCAATTTGAAAATTTATTTAACATGTTGAAGCCACTATTATTGAACAAGCTCCTGGAATTTAAACTGGCTATGTACAATTGACATCGCAATTTGAAAATAGTCATTTATACAATCTAATAACAATAATAAGCGAGTGCCAAGAGGTTTTTGATAAAATTAAAGAATACTTGTCGAACCCTCCAGTCGTGGTCCCACCAGAACCGGGAAGGCCTCTGTTCTTGTATTTAACAGTCTTGGAGAATTCTTTTGGCTGTGTCCTTGGACAACATGATGTAACCGGGAGGAAAGAGCAAGCGATCTACTATTTGAGTAAAAAGTTCACAAGCTATGAGGCTAAAAATACTCTGTTGGAAAGGACTTGTTGCGCTTTGACCTGGGTAGCTCAAAAGCTGAGGCATTACTTGTTGGCTTACACCACTTACCTCATCACCAGGTTGGACCCTTTAAAGTACATATTCCAGAAACCAATGCCCAAGGGAAGGTTAGCAAAATGGTAGATCCTGCTCACTGAATTTGACATAGTCTATGTCACCCGCACGACGACGAAAGCCCAGGCTTTAGCAGATCATTTGGTTGAAAACCCGGTTGACGATGAATACCAACCTTTGAGCACCTACTTCCCGGATGAAGAGGTAAATTCAGTTGAGGCAATATCCGAAGATACTAATGCTTGGAAAATGTTCTTTGATGGAGCGGTAAACGCAAAATGTGTTGGAATTCGGGCAATCTTGATCTCACCCACTGGTCAGAATTATCCAGCCACAGCCCGGCTCCGGTTTTTCTGCACAAACAACACTGCCGAGTATGAAGCCTGCATTATGGGTATGAACATGGCAATTGACCAAGATGTCGAAGAATTGTTAATCATGGGAGACTCGGATCTAATTATCTGACAAGCTCAGGGAGAATGGGAGACTCGAGATGTCAAACTTATTCCCTACAGGCAACATGTGGAAGATCTCAGCAAACGTTTCAAGTCAATAGAGTTCAGGTACATCTCTCGTTGTCACAATGAACTAGATGATGCACTTGCTACTTTAGCCTCGATGCTGCTATACCCAGGCAATGCCCACATTGATCCCTTGGAAATCCAAATCCGGGAAAGGCACGGTTACTGTAATACGGTTGAGGCGGAACCAAATATTCAGCCATGGTATCATGACATCAAAAGATTTCTGAAAACTAAGGACTACCCCGAGCAAGCCAGTGGAGACCGAAAGAGGACCATTAGACGACACGCAAGTGGTTTCGTCTTGAGCGGTGATGTCTTGTACAAAAGAACTCCTGACCTCAACTTGCTAAGATGTGTTGACGCCGAAGAAGCCGGAAGAATCATGTATGAAGTGCACGCAGGAGTGTGCGGACCCCTTATTAACGTGTATGTTTTGGCAAAGAAAATCCTTCGAGCGGGCTATTACTGGATGACTATGGAAAAGGACTGTTTTAGTTTCGTCCGGAAATGTCATCAATGTCAGGTGCACGGTATTTGATTCATGCACCACCTACAGAAATACATCCTATGTCAGCACCTTGGCCATTTGTCGCGTGGGGCATGGACGTCATTGGGCCGATCGAGCTGAAAGCTTCAAATGGACATAGATTCATATTGGTCGCTATCGACTACTTCACAGAGTGGGTTGAAGCAATTACTCTCAAATCTGTCACCAAGAAAGCTGTAGTAGACTTCGTGCATTCTAACCTCATCTGCCATTTTGGTATTCCTGCAACTATCATTACGGATAATGCTGCAAATTTGAATAGTCATTTGATGGGGGAGATATACGAACAATTCAGGATAACGCATCGGAACTCTACTCCTTATCGGCCTAAAGCCAATGGTGTCGTCGAAGCAGCAAACAAGAACATCAAAAAGATTTTGAGAAAGATGATCCAAAGTTCCAGGCAGTGGCATGAAAAGTTGCCATTTGCATTGTTAGGGTATCGCACTACTGTGCGCACATCGATTGGAGCAACCCCATACCTTTTGGTTTACGGCACTGAAGCTGTAATACCCGTAGAAGTTGAAATCCCTTCTCTCGGGATTATTGTTGAAGCTGAAATTGAAGACAGTGAGTGGGTCAAAACCCGTCTGGAACAGTTGACCCTGATTGATGAAAAGCAAATGGCTGCGGTCTGCCACGGGCAGTTGTACCAACAAAGAATGGCCCGTGCATACAACAAGAAAGTGCGGCCCAGAAATTTCGAAATGGGGCAGCTCGTGTTAAGGCGCATTCTTCCCCATCATCAGTAAGCGAAAGGAAAATTCGCTCCTAATTGGAAAGGCCCGTATATCATCAGAAAGATATTGCCAAGAGGGGCATTATACTTGGGAGATGTCGAAGGAAATGATCCCGAAGAAGCTGTGAATGCGGATGCAGTAAAAAAGGTACTATGTTTAGGCTTTCTGCAGCTACAACATTGTCTGATTGGGATGATGAAGGCTTTTATTCTCGCTACCCAAACACTATCAACCTTTTGCAAACCCTTTGAGCCGGTTACTCTTCTTTGACTACCCTCTTTGGAACCCGAAAGCGTTATTGAAAAAAAAATGAATGAAAAAAAACAAAAAAAAAAAGCATCAAAACAAAAGAAAGAAAAGAAAAGAAAACAAAACAAAACAAAATGTTTCCCTGAACTATGTTCGACTTGATTCCGAAAGGATACGTAGGCAGCCTCTCTCTGGGGTTCAGTCACACCAAAACAAAAATCCAATTTCCCCTCCAAAAGTAAAACTGGGACAGATGTTATAATGGTTCGGCAATGATCCCGCCTGAACGGACCAAAGTTGTAATTCGATCCAAATTCTTTTTACCCAAAACCTTGTCAAGTCCTTCGGATCAATCGGCGAAAGGTTTTCAAATCGGAGAACGTAGTTGTTTGGATCCGGTGCAATCAAGAAGAAAGAAATAAAATGAGAGAGTCTTATTGGTGAAAACCTACGGGCACCATAAGGCGATAGTGAGCAGAGAAACTGAAAAACAAGAGAGTCTTGTTAGTGAAAACTCGTAAAGAGCACTATAAGGCGACGGTGAGAAGAGAAATGAGAGAGGTCAATGGTGAAAACCCGAAAAGGGCGCCGTTGATCGAAAAGAAGAAACCCCTCACCACCATTGGTATTGAAAGAGTCCTGGCAAGGTTTCTCGGTTTTGAAACACGGGTCGCAATGGGTTTATGAGAAGTTGGGATAGCTTGTGCAGATCGGGTACCCAGTCCAAGAAGCATGTCATGTTTATTGAAGTCTGCATGCACCCCAGATATGTCCGTCCTTCCTCCCCGAAAGGGACACTTCTCATTAAATTCATTTTCTTGTCCTTTGTTTACTTTTCCTTGAATCCCTTTCGGTCTAACTCCGTTCCGAAACTAATGCAAAGAAAAGGTGGCAAGATTGGTTTTACAGGTTTCCGTTTAATAAAAGCCAAGTCCAAGAAAGTACCCTGCCTCAGCAGGCGCATCAAGTCAATCCCGGCTGGCCATGATGGCCGATGCTCTGAAACCCAAAGTTATTGAAAATGAAAGAAAGCCAAGGCAAAAGCCCCTAGAGGCAGAATAAAGTGAAAGGACCAAAGCCCCATACGGGCGAGCCATCACGATAAATTTTTGAAAAGTTGAGTCCCTCGGTTTAGGAAAGAGATCAATCTTCAGAAAAGCCAGCAAGCTGCAGGGGTTCTCACCAAAAAAGTTGGGCCGAGATCAAGTAATCAAAACAATCAAGGCCACAAAACCAACCACCGTTTCAAACTAACAATTGTTCTTTGTTTGAAAAATTTGAGACATGTGTAATCCAAAGCAACCGTTCAAGAAGCAGGTGCAACCAAAAAGGAAAAATGCGCAAGAGCTAGAAACAGCTTTGCAGCAATAATCAATCCAATAGGGAAGTCTCCTTCAAATTCTTTCCTGCATTTTTACTCATTTTCTTAAACCCAAAAAAAAAAATGAAGAATGATGAAAAAAAAAGAGGAAAAAAAATTCAAAATAGATAGCATATTTCCTCCAATCTCTAGTTGCATCCTTTCCAACATAGGGCCTCATTCCCTAGTTATCCCCGGCATAACTCGAGGACCTTTTTTCTTTTATCCCGGCATAACCCGCGGACCTCCCTGGCATAACCCAAGGACCTTTTTCTTTTATCCCAGCATAATCCGTGGACCTCCCTGGCATAACCCAAGGACCCTTTTTCTTTTATCTCGGCATAACCCGTGGACCTCCCTGGCATAACCCAAGGACCCTTTTTCTTTTTTCCCGGCATAACCCGTGGACCTCCCTGGCATAACCCAGGGACCTTTTTCTTTTCTCCCCGGCATAACCCGAGGACCTTTTTCTTTTTCTCCCGGCATAACCCGTGGACCTCCCTGGCATAACCCAAGGATCTTTTTTCTTTTATCCCGGCATAACCCGTGGACCTCCCCGGCATAACCCAAGGACCTTTTTCTTTTATCCCGGCATAACCCGTGGACCTCCCTGGCATAACCCAAGGACCTTTTTTCTTTTATCCCGGCATAACCCGTGGACCTCCCTGGCATAACCCAAGGACCTTTTTTCTTTTCTCCCGGCATAACCCGTGGACCTCCCTGGCATAACCCAAGGACCTTTTTCTTTTCTCCCTGGCATAACCCAAGGACCTTTTTTCTTTTCTCCCGGCATAACCCGTGGACCTCCCTGGCATAACCCAAGGACCTTTTTCTTCTCTCCCGACATAACCCGTGGATCTCCCCGGCATAACCCGAGGACCTTTTTCCTTTTTTCCCGGCATAACCCGTGGACCTCCCCGACATAACCCGAGGACCTTATCCTTTCGTTCCCTGGCATAACCCAAGGACCTTTTTCTTTTATCCCGGCATAACCCGTGGACCTCCCTGGCATAACCCAAGGACCCTTTTTCTTTTATCCCGGCATAACCCGTGGACCCCCCTGGCATAACCCAAGGACCCTTTTTCTTTTATTCCGGGATAACCCGTGGACCTCCCTGGCATAACCCAAGGACCCTTTTCTTTTATCCCGGCATAACCCGTGGACCTCCCCAGGCATAACCCAAGGACCTTTTTCTTTTATCCCGGCATAACCCGTGGACCTCCCTGGCATAACCCAAGGACCTTTTTTCTTTTATCCCGGCATAACCCGTGGACCTCCCCGGCATAACCCGAGGACCCTTTTTTTCTCTTTTCCGGCATAACCCGGTCATTTTCCCAGCATAACCTGGCAATCTTCCCAATTTAGGGCTGTATTCCGTATTCCCAAGGATATATAATCCTGACTTTTGTTGCTTTCAATAAAGAAATAGCTTAGATTTGTGTTGCAAATAACTCACGGAATTTTCCTAGTGAAAACTAGGGCAGAAAAATTTCGTTTATTTGTTTGTTTTTGGTGTCTGAGCAGGTTTGACCTCAAGGCACAGGATTCGAAATGACCAAAAGAATGAGTCTCAATCCAGAATAAAGAAAGGAAAGAAAAGAACAAAAGAAGTGAACTCAAATCTTGAAGCGGAGAAAGATGCGGACTGCTCAAGATGTGATTGAAGTCACAGGCTTCGCGTGTCCCACCTTGATCCAAAGCTGAAAAATAAACCCGCGGTTTATAGCTGAGGAGCATCAAGATTCAGATCGGAGCCTGCAAGAAGAACCAACCAAGACTCAAGATCATTCTTCAGAAGACTCACAGATAGGAATCTTGTAACTCGTAGCTGATAGGCTTAGTTAGTACTTTTCAATTTTGATTTTTGATGTAATAAAGGGACCGCGGACCGGAACCTCAACGGCACCTCACTCGGCTCTCCACCTCGGTACTCCATCACCTCATTCACTTCTGAACTACACGTGTCCTGATTCCTTTATAGCCAAGGATATGTAGGCATTTCAGACACCAGGGCTCGGTCACATTCTCCTTTTCTTTTAGCTTTTGGTCTCTCCAAATACAAACCTGTCTCGTCATTCTTTGTCCGAAAACTCTTCGCGTTTCCAGTCAAAGAGGGGCAGCTGTAGACATGTGATTTTTGACCCTCCCCAAGACTTTTCATATTTTAGCATGTAAATATATAATCTAGGCCTAATATAGCTATTTCAACTAATTTTTACTCTTTTACTTTATTTTATTATAAGAAAAATAAAAATTACAAAAAAATTGTTCCATTAGTGTTTTGTTAGTCATTTTTAACCTTGA